TTTTGTTATCCATATTTTCATCGATTTTGCTACCAATCTAATTATCGATTTTGCTATCGAACTTTTTATTGAAATTTTTATTGAATTAGTTATCGATTTTGCTATCGATATTTTTATATTTTTTACTATCGATATTTAGTTGAATGTTACTATCGATATAAAGGAAAACATGAATATAAAGGAAAACAGAAAAACATAAATGTAATTAGAACGAACAGGGGTAGAGGTAGGGATGGGATCTAGATAGAAAAAAAGAACAAAAAATATAACCTTAAGCAAAAGCAGATGTACATATATATGTACATACATGTGTATGTATATTGGTTATTAGACAAAATAGATATGTAACGTATGTTTCACTTCTTCAGTGTGAGCCAGGAGCACTTACTTTTTTTTAACTGCGGCGTGAATTCATCTTTGCTCCAAAGGTTTGCAAAGCATTCAGATTCGGAAAATGTTCAAGAATATAAATGAATTTCCGAGATTTATTCAAATTCTTAAAATCAAATATATAATTTCTTTCACGAAAATTTGTCTCCCACCATTCTCTTCAATCGCTATTTAAAGAGTGGAGTTGGCATTTTTTGAACTTCTTCGAGATTTTAATATGCGGTTCGGGAATTTGTGGGGTTTTGTTTTTTTTTAATTACTCTGAAACTTTGTGGAATTATAGGCGGTTTTCTAAATTTTTCTGCATTTTTCAGTTTTTAGAATCGTTAGGACCCTGTTATCTTTTTATTGCCATTATTTCTCTTCGTTGACATTTTTTGGCTTACTTAAAGTATTTATCAGTGCTTTTCACCAATTTTCGCAATTCTTTTGAGAATATTTTAGGACGATTTGGAGATTTTTCACGTATTTCTACTTTCTCGGGAGTTTTGAGGGTATTGAGGAATTCTAGGAACCTCTCGGTACTCTCTGATTTTCTCGGATTTTTTTTTTAATTAAGAGCCTCCTTGAGCTTTTTGATGTGTCAATTTCCACTTCTTTCCATCAAGCCAACTCTTTCCTAAGCTGGCCAGGCTGGCATATTTCAGCTGTTGCTACGCGCCAGTTGACCTCATTTATTTACGCTTATAAAACATTAATTAATTAACGTCAACCACCCGTTTTTTTTAACACAATGAAAACGACGAGCTACAAACCACAGCTGTCACATTATTTTAACACGTACTCTTATGTAGGTAATTATTTTGGCGACGATCGGGCTACGCGACGGTTGTGGTTGTGGCCAGATTAGATCTATTTCTATTTTTCTGGCGATAGATAAGGTCCTTCCTCTTCTTGTATGTCAAACTCATACAAATTCATGATGTCGCTGCCGCATTCAAAGAAATCATGTCGCCATCGACATCGTTTAGATAATGAAGATGACAAATTGGAAGCTGTGGTCTGTAGCTCGTCGTTTTCAATATGTTCATAACTGATCTGAGGCTAACAACGATCTGAGATTTCAACCTAAAAGAGAGGGACGTGTAAGTTAAATAGCTATGCGGCACTCTCGCGTAGACTTCAGTTAGAGGATTGATGGTGACCTCAAGGAGCCAAACCTAATCTCCACCATTACTTACATAAATCTCGAAAAACTGCATATAATAATTTTATGTGTTAACCACCTTTCGTTGAGTAAACTACAAAGGTCTCTTGTGATTCACACTGAATTTGCCTCTTCGAGTTTTATGTATGTGCCCCCGACAGGCCATCATCAGTTCTTTATAGCACTTTTCCTTACGTACTTATGTACATGTTTACGTATCCAATTAGGAGCTCGCTAGCGACAGCCTTTCGATAGTCTAGGAATATCGCTCGGAAATACATATCTAGCTCAAGTGTGACACACCAACTTTCGCCAACAACCTAAACATTCGCATACAATACTCTGCTTACACTTCGCACGTGAGTATGCACATAAGTGACCAACAACAATGATTAATAATAATTGCCAACAAAAAGCATAACAAAGTTATGTCATCAACGCTTCAAACATATAAATTATATCAAGTCTTTCATCACTTCAGCGTTAAATGTGTAAGTAAGTACAAAAGGCGGACTAGGCGTATGAGTGTCCGCTGATGGCAGTTAATCGTATGAAAGGCGTGTTAGGTGTGCTCTCAACAGCAGCACTGCTTACATCGGAAAACTTTGAAAGAATGAATTCGCGAATATACAATACAGTGCGTCACTGGCCGGCCAAACAACACCAACAAAGTAGGCATAATAAATCAATTGATATTTCTACACACACATTCTCAGGTAAATATGTATGAGCAACAGAGATAAATTGCCCTGTTATGCGGAGGAATAAAAGCGGAAGGAAAAAGTTAAACCGTAGGAAAATCTATGAATATTTTGAAAGAATCAAAGACAACTACTCCTAAGAGGTGCAGAGTTGTTAGCTGCTTAGAAATGTGTATTTGTTCTTGTTCTTCTTGCCGTTATTTTTCAGCCATTATTATACTAAAGAATTGACAATTTTCTGCTGAAGATAGTCGTATGGAAAATACAAAGCAATCAGTCAGGCGCTAAGCAAACAAAGAAAGAAAGAAAGAAGCCAAGTGACTAACACTTGCATACATAAATTGCATGGCATAACTGTGAAGAGCAGTGCTGAAGAAAGTTAACACACACTCTTCTTATATCCACAGTCTTGCTAACAATTTACGTTAAGCTCTTCGTATTGTTGGTTATCGTGCTCAATAGACATAAGTGTCTTTGCATGGTTGGCAATAAATAATAAGCGGTATATGTAGCAGGAATAATGACGTCTTCGTAGATAGGAAAGGGATACCAATGCGCAAAATTGATTTGTGCATTACGTTCTATACCTATTGAGAGTTGTTTGAGCACCGGAAGGGAAGCAATTTGGCAACTCAACGTAAAGCTATTAACATAGTATAGTTATCTATAGATATTCTGTTAGAGAGATAGCACAGCAGTGAGAAATGGAGAAAAAGAAATATATGTACACTAGGCTGCATTACCCCAAAAAAAGTTGCGGTTTTTTCGCCGAGATTACAAAATTTATTATATTTTAGGACGTCCACCAAAATATTTCGGAAAAATATTAAGATTTAAGCGAGCTGGACCGATGAAAATATCGCAAAAAATTTAGTTTTCTATGAATAAAAATACTTACTTAAAGAACTTTTTAAAAAAAGTCCCCTCAGATGACAAAACAGATTAAGCTTAAAAAATCTGCATAAAAATATTCCAAAATCTTTTCAACGGAATCGTAATAATGAGAATTTTGAGGCTGTTTTTTTTACTTTTTTCAAAGATTAATTTACGAAAAACTTAAATAACTGGGCCAAAACTATTCTGATTTAGACTTATGCGATCTCAGTAGAAAGCTATTTGCCCACTAATTTCATTTCTGTGCAAAAAAAATTATTCGTGTCCCAATTTTTATTATTTTTTTTCTCGAATACCAAAACATCCTTATTCAACTTTGAATGATGTTCGTTCATCCTACCTTTCTCTTTCGTTTGAATGGGTTTATTAGCAAAGAAATAAAAAAGTGAGAAAATACCTTTTCAGTGACACCTCACAAGCCTAATTCGGAAGAGTTTAGGTTCAGTTATCCAAGTTTTTCTTATACCAAGCTCTGAAAAAAGTTAAAGAAACAGCATCACAAATTTGACTATCACGATTCCGTAAAAATTTTTTTTAAATATTTTAAAACTATTTTTGTGGAAATTTTTTAAGTTTAAACCGTTTTGTATTTTGAGGGGATTTAAAAAACAAAATAAAAAATCTTCCAGAATCTATTTTTATTTATAAAAAACTCCATTTTTGGAGGTATTTTCAAATCGGTCTAGCTCACGTAAATCTTAATATTTTTCTGAAATATTTTGGCAGACGTCTTAAAATATAACAGATTTTATAATTCCAATGGAAAAACAGTACAATTTTTTTTTTTGTATGGGAAGTTATGCAGTCTAATATACATACATATTTATGTGT